TCCCAAAGAGGGATATAACTTTAGCTGATAAGACGAAGAAAACTGTTGTGGTGTCCCTTTGGAATGATCTAGCAACTGGCTTAGGACAAGAACTGCTAGACATGGCTGATAAGCACCCTGTTATCGCGATTAAGTCTCTCAAAGTTGGGGATTTTCAAGGTAAATCTTGGATTTTCTTTCAAAGTAAAGATATGTACTTTGTTAATTTATGTGCTGATGTAAACCTATTTTTATAGGTGTTTCATTATCTACTATCAGCAGAAGCAATGTGGTGGTAAATCCTGATTCACCAGAAGCTACAAAGTTGAAATCTTGGTATGATTCTGAAGGTAAAGAGTCATCTATGTCTGCGATTGGCTCGGGGATGAGTTCTTCTGCCAATATTGGATCAAGATCCATGTATACTGACAGAGTTTGTCTCTCTCACTTCACGAGCAACCCCTCGTTGGGCGAGGAGAAAGTACTTAACAAAACTACACTTGTATATTCATATCTGGAAGAAAGAAAAGTTGGTTTATGTGGTCTTGTATTTCTATTTGCAGCCTGTATTTTTCAGTACTAGAGCTTACATAAGCTTCATTAAGCCAGACCAGACAATGTGGTACCGTGCTTGCAAGACCTGTAACAAGAAAGTGACTGAAGCGATGGACTCTGGTTATTGGTGTGAAGGTTGTCAGAGAAAGGATCAAGAATGCAGTTTAAGGTAAGTTTGATACTGAGTTTCATGTAATCCCATACAAGAATTGGACCTTGTTTGCTCTAATTATGTGTACTTAATGGTGTGATCAGGTATATAATGGCGGTGAAAGTCTCTGATTCAATGGGTGAAGCCTGGTTCTCTGCGTTCAATGATGAAGCAGAGAAGATTATTGGATGCACAGCTGATGAACTCAATATACTAAGATCAGAGGTAATAAAACTTACAAGCCATTTCAAAGATTCAAAACATTCCTAATTCTCCATGTTCTGATTTAAATATGGTTGTATTCTCCAGGAAGGTGAAGTGAATGAGTTTCAGACGAAACTTAAAGAAGCTACTTGGTCATCTCATGTCTTCCGGGTCTGTGTTTCGCAGCAAGAGTATAACAGCGAGAAGAGACAGAGAATAACTGTGAAAGGCGTTTCTTCAATCGATTTTGCTGCTGAAACAAGATTATTGCTCCAAGACATTTCCAAGAACAAGACATCTCAGTAATTCTATCCTTTTACATGATTTTTTCTAGCTTTTGTTTGAACTAAAAGTTTCAAGCTTTTGTATTATAAGCATTTCTGCACTCAGTTAAATTAGTTAAAGTCGTTACTTTTGTTTTGACTTAAGTCTCTTGCAAGTGTTCCAACAATCAAATACAGAGACTGAGAATTAATCTTAAAGCCTTTGAGAGAACACCAGAAGCAATTTATTATTAAACAGATGAAAATGGAGAAACTTGCAAGGTTTCTATAAAAAAATTCCTAACGTAAAAAAAAACCAATTCAATTGGAGAATCACTGTTGTTTAGGCAAAGGCGCACTCAATTCCTGGTAATTGTGTAGACTTCCAGTGAAATCAGTGAACAAACCATCAACACCAATCTTATTGATCCAATAATCGTACTCGGAATACGCATCTTGATGAAATCCGACATGCAGAAACTGGTTCTCGTTACGGTATGTGTATGGATGGACCTAGCAAACAACATTATTCAAAGTAAAGGCTTAAGAAAAACCAATCAATAATATTATAGCTAGAGACATAAGTTTAGTTCGAGTCCAACACGCACCTGAAGATTACGCGAATGCGCTCTTGCAACCAAATCTGTTGGTGTAGTGAGACGGTTCTCGTTCACAGGAACAATTGTGTCTTTCCATGGACCAATCCCAATCACATATTGCTGAATGTAATCTAAATACTTGTCTGAAGTAATCTCCGCGTATGTCTGCAATTTACATTCATTTATCTTATATGTAAGCAACTTTGATTGATCTGAAAACATAATTAGAAAGGAAGAAAGACCTTATTGGTGTCTTCGGTTAGAATGGTGACATCGTCGATCAATAACACTTTTGGTATGTCTGTCAAGTTTGAAATGTAAACTAGAGAAGTTGCTGCAAAAGACTGAATAAATATTGGCTGTTTTAACCAATCTTCAGACATATATGTGCCTTTGTATCCATATTTCTTCAATGTTGCCACAAATTTATCCTCAAACTTTTTGCCATCCGCCCATTTCACCTGCACAAGTTTCCATTAAAACAATTTAACAAACTCTGCATTTGTTCACATCAATTAAGGAAAAGTTAAAGTTTTGATTTGGTTTTAAAAGTTTTTGGAATTAGATTATGGTTTGCTTACTCGCTGATTGATGAAGACCGGGTTCTTGATCTCTGGATATATCCCAACAACTCTTGGCGCATCCAGTGCTATCGCAATATACTCGTCGAAAGTAATAATCGGGAATTTACCTGATAAATACCAAAACTTTCGTTTAGAATTCATTGCAAATCAGTAGATGGCAAAGTATATGAAAATAGAAAAACATATTACCATTGTACTGTTGATCCCTGAAAGGATACCTCTGCTTAGCCCCGAGTGTTTTCAGCTCTTCGAGTGTGAAATCAACTGTTCGTGGAATTTTCAATCTCATTGTTAAAATATGAGTTATAAGTTATACCAAACAAATGTTATTTTGTGTGTGTTTGTAGTGTTGTTAAGAGTTTACCAGTGAAAAAGCCAGTCATGTTCACTCCTTGGACTTCATAGGTTCTCTTACGGTCTACAAACTCCTTATGGTCCGCAACATCGGTAGTATCATCGAGATTAACATCGTGATGACATATAAGAACACCGTCTTTCGATGCTAAAATATCTGATTCAATGAAATCTGCACCTTCCTCAATAGCCCTCTGCAATAAAAACAAGAAAATTCAGGATACATAAATCTTAACAAAACTGGGCAATATAGTGGTAAAGGTAGAAACTTTAGTTATAGATAGATCAAAAAACCAAATAAGCAGGAGCAGTTTCTTCAGGGAATTCTCCATTTGCTCCTCTGTGTGCAACGTTGAAAGGACGAGAAGTCTGAAGAGGTTTCTTGGTTCCATATTTTGCTACACTTGGAAGAGGATACAATGGCCTTGAAGCACTATCAGCAACCAACAATGACAGTAAAAGCAATGGTAGAAAATCTGCAAAGAGATTAAAAAAGATTGCTTAAACAAAGACATAGAAACAATTCAATCTAGCTAAAAAGAGAAGAACAAAGATCATCATGACGGAGATTAAAGACTTACACTTGAAGCCCATGATGATTGAATTTGCGCTTGAGAATTACTCCAAATACTATCAGAACTATCTCTCAAAACAACGACCATACTCTGCATTTATATAGATGGATTCTAGGTTATCTAAAAGAACAAATAAAAGATTTTACCAGAATAAAACGGACGTAACAAAAGTACGAGAATATTCCACCGAAAGTTGCATTAAAACATTTAACAACAAGAAAAGAGATAGGAATAACTGATAATATGCTACTAGATAAACTCTTCTTTGGTCTGCAAGCTTATCAAGTTACCAACGACTGAAAGAATATTCTATTTACTTTGTGAATCCTGGTTTGATAGAGTTTTAGTTACATTTTAATTTTATGTGAATGAACTTATCATAAAAGCAGTTATTATTATAAGCTTGGTGGGGTGTGATAAGAAGAAAATACAATTTAGAGCCTGAATGATAGTGAATAAAAAGCAAATTTTTTTGCATATATATTATAAAATCTCAGACACTTGAAAACCAGAAACAAATCTTGGTTTGAGATAATTTTATCACATTGTGTAAAAACCAGAAATTAACACACCAATTCTAAAGAGAGAACTCAGAGAAGAGACACTGAAGAAATACAAACAATTGAGGAGAAACTGAAAACTAAGAGAGAAGGTTTCTCCATTCTTTTGACAAGATTTTCTTCAGACAGCCATGAGATCACCATAGTTACGCATGAGGAAGACTCCTCCTGCAAACACTCCGAGTGCTCTCAGAAGTTTCTGCATCAAGAGAGACAAAACAGAAACAAAAGTATTAATGTGAGAATGAGACAGCTTTTGATGGTAAGTAGACAACAGAGACAAAGCATCACAAGAAACAATAACCAAAACTACTTCTAGGCTTGGGCTTGTGATTGATTCTTACCATCGAAATCTGTTGATTCTAATATAACATAAGTAACCGTGTGAGAATGAGACATATTTCGATGGTAGGAATCGATCAGATTATGTAAACAAAGTAGTCAAGCATCACAAAGACTTCAAGGCATGAACTTGTGATTGATAAACACTAATTCTCTGAAGAGGCCTAACATTCCCAAATTCGAATTCAAACAATTACTAACCTAAAACTGAGAATTGCCTGAAACATCTAAATTCCGTAACAAGTCCTGATTTGGCTTATTCAAACATACAAAGGACTCAAATTCAACGCTCTAATTGAATCAATTCGGGATAAAACCAAGCAGAGAAAGCACTAAACTCATATTCAATATCTGTGCAATATCCAGAAAATTCAATACAGCATCGGTAAACAAACGAAAGAATCAATTTGGGAATCAAACGAATCAGAGCTCAAGAGTAAGAGAGAGTTACCATGTTAGTGGCCCATTTTTGTTCGTCGTGAAACTCAGAATGCCATAAAGCTTTAAGCTTTTCGATAGATACAACACTGTTCACCATCGTTGCGTGCTAAAAATCGAAACTTTGATCGTCTACAAAAAAAAAGAAGAAGCTAGGGCTTTTAATGTCGATTTGGGAATCGGGAAATTAGTCGGTTAGATTTGACTCTTTAAGGGTTTAGGGTTTACTAAATTACGAAACTAACCTTTACTCTTTTTGGCAATTGAGTGATTTGGTTTGATTTGAACCAAACAAAACCCGAAGTATACTAACCAACCACTGACCGACACGTGTGCAACACAATCTTAGCAATCTAAATACTCGTGATCTACAAGCTCTGGTGGTTCCGGTTCCTCCATTGAAGAAAAAGCTTCGACAAAACCAGAGAAACTGAGAGAATTACGAAATGGCGGCTAAATCAATCTGTTATTCTTTAACAGTTCATTCCATGGCGAACAAGAAGCCTTCGTCTTCTGCAACAAGAACAGTAACCTCAAAGAAGGTGAAAACACAAACTGAGATTTGCTTTTCATCTTTTTTCTTACATGTCTGAAAATCTAATTACAAGTTAATGTGTTCACAGAGCACTGCGATTCCTCCGGTTAAGCTACTGACAAGAGTTGAGCAGCTCAAGCTTTTGACAAAAGCCGAAAAAGCTGGACTTTTGTCTTTAGCAGAGAAATCAGGTTTCTCTCTATCGACCATCGAGCGTCTTGGATTGCTTACTAAAGCAGAGGACTTCGGCGTTTTGTCTGCCGCTACAAACCCAGAAACGCCTGGAACGCTGTTCACTTTGAGCCTCGGTTTACTCCTTCTTGGACCGGTTTTTGTTTACTTTGTTCCTGAAGATTACTCGTGGGAAGTGGTGGTTCAGCTCGTGGTGGCTATTGTCTCTGTTCTTGGTGGCTCTGCTGCTTTTGCTGCTTCTGGTTTTGTCTCCAATTTGCAGAAATCTGATTAAGCTCTGTTTTGGTTTTTGATAAACCGGTCGGTTTTTGTATCGAATTTACGTACTTATGAATTACGACCTAGCAGGAGAGACTTTTTATGAACTTAAGATATAATGGAATTCTCATGTATTTGATCTTAAGCAGCTGTTTCAACTCATTTCACTATTTCTATGTAAAGGGTTTCATATACAGAATCCAAGAGATTGCGTTTCAATAAGTTCACCCTTAATGATGTTCTTAGGCTATCAATGAAAACTAATCATACTGTATCCAAATTGCATGGAATTAGAAGTGGGTACTCGAAAATGAGATTCTCGATTAACCAAAAACACCCATGGAAATATAATATTTCGGTAAACACCGTCTCTGACTTCGATAACCTCTGTTTACGATTTGTTAAATGAAGTATCCATCGTGTGAGACTGCGATCACCGTGCCTTTGTACTAGTTTATTGCCTCCTGATGAAAGATGGAATCGAAGAATCAGAACTTACTCAACCTTTCAACAACAGTTTGGCCAAACAGAAAAGAGAAAGAGTACTGATTAGGAACCTCGAGCATTTCTTTTGAAGGTATGTCTAAGTGATTGGTGGGTTCGTCCAACACGAAAAGAGTGGATGGTTTCACCATGAATTTGCAGAAAGCAAGACGTGCCTAAAGACCGCAAGAAATAATGGCAATGAAAACACCAAAGAGACGATACAAGTATTATTGGGAATGGAATAAGCATTACATCAATACCTTCTCACCGCCACTCAAAAGAGCGACCTTTCTATCGAGCATATCAGGCTTTGAAGTTGCAGCGACCAACAAGACCTTTTATATCATCAATTCTACAATCTACAGCAGCTTCAACAACTGTCTCAATCACAGTTTTATCCAAATCTTGAGCCTCTGCCTAAAGCCAACAAGTGAGTAAAAACCGTAATATGATGATTCCTCTAATAATCCCTTTGATCACAACAGAACAAACCTGATTCTGCTCAAAGCAGTTTGGCAATACATTGCGCTGCCCAATAATCACTTCACCTCTCATAGGCTTCTCCAAACCCATAAAGGAGTTTCAATAATGTACTTTTACCGCACCCGTTTGGACCAATAATCGCGATTTTCCCTCCTCTTTCTACAGCTAGATTTGCCTTGTTAAATAACATCTGCTTGCATCATACACAAATCAAAAGGCCACACACAAGTAATAAAGGGAGTACCAAACAACATTTTTCTAATTCTATCATATTCTCACCTTATCCTCAAAACCAAATTCAAGATTCTTAACAGTGACAGAAGTCAGAGTACGTCCAGCAAAAATGCCAAGGAGATGGAAGTTGTATATTTTCAGACAAGAGGTGTAAGCAGTAAGGAAGAAGACATGTGACGATGGAAACAAGAGAAGCAATCTCTTTGCTCCCTAGTGCAAAACAAAATAGAGAAAAAGAGCAGCGGCATAATACGGGGCAGATGATGTTTCGAACTGAACTTGTAATGAAGATTTTAAATAAGCATTAGTGTTGAATGATACAATAGAAACATTGACAGGAGCCGAACAAATAGAACCTTTTAGATAAAAGTAGAGAGAGTGTTTCAAACACTGACAGAAAGAGAGTATAAGACCTGAAAGAGACTGCTCTATCGAGAGGTTGATCGGCGGGGAGAGGGTCATCAGAGAAGACAGTACCGGACGTTACCCCAAATTTTACCATCTTTGCGCTTCTCCAAGGAAATCTCTGCACACAAAATCTCTAATCTCTTGATATCATCATCCCCAACTAGCCGGTCCCAGAAGATGACAAGGTTGCCTCCGGAGATGCTGAGTCTCGCCCCCTGAACTAAGCCTTGGAGGCCGTTTTTGTAACCATGATTGAGCATATGGCATTGCCACACATCCGCCTTCTGGCCACCGAATTTGATCAATCTCGAATTAACGTGGAAAAAGCTTTCCAGATGCTCCAAACCATACACCTTCTTCCACTTCATCACTCCTTTCCTCACCTTCCTCCAAGGCTCACACCACATGATTCTCCCGTAGTCATCACAACAGTATAAACAAACATCTATCTACCTTACAAGAAATTAAATCATTCCACATTCTTTCTTCCCTCGGAAAGCAGTAGTACCATCTATCCACCGATGCCATGCGGCGAACCTCCTCCATAGCATCGTTCATCACAGGATCAGGGATAACCACTCTACTCCAAGTTTGGGTCTTTGGGTCGAACACCTCTGCCCATTTTGATGGATCCTCATCGTCCTCGCCACGGCAGCCTCCAAACACATATATCTTACCGTCTAAGACCCCCACCTTGGCGAAAGCCCGAGCAACTCTCATTGGAGGGACGTAGCTCCAAGTGTGAGTCCGACAATCCAGGAACGAGACACGCGACGTTTTCTCATAGTCTACCATTCCACCAATTCCCCCAACCTAGGGAAACAAAGGAGGCTGCTTCTGGAGTTGGGAACGAAGGGAGCTGGATCAGCCGATTATCCGCAAAAGACTCTCCTTTTCCCTGCCGGAGGATGAACCACCGCGGGTTTGGATGACTAGGAGTGTCTAGGTATACATACACGCACTCCTCCTTGCAACCCATTCTAGATCGCGTCTCGTAGAACTCAGCGGAAACCACCAGTGAACGGTAGATCTTTGAGACCGTAGATAAGGATGCGTGGTCTATTCTTGACACGCGGGCAAAGCAGTCTAGAGCCATCTCATCTGGCAAACACGATAAACCACACGACGGAGACAGAGACGTCTCTTTCGTCTTCTTTCTGCATGATTGCTCCAACGACATCTTCGTCAAGCCTAAGGTTCTATTGTGTTTGAGAGACAGAGAACGAGGAAAAGTTGGTTTTTTTTTTAAGTTCTTTGACGCGGGAATCCGTTTAGGAAAAGGAAAAGTTTCTTCATTATAAGTTAGGTAAGTAAAAACAAGAAATTTTACAAAAAAAAGAAAGAAAGGAAAAAGGTTCATGTTAAATAAATCATCTCTATATAAATTTACAATGGATAGTCTCAATATATATACTAAATCGAGTAACTGATAAACACTAAACACACCAAAAAACTTGCGTGTTTCATTGCTTGGAAGCTTTAATTCCACGTCTTGGCATTTCTTAATGGACTATTACTTTTGTTTGGAAGCTTGAAACGCTTTCATCTTTTGCTTCTTCCTTGCTTCTCTCTCTGCATTTGACATCTTTGATTTTGCTTTCATTTTTGGAGCTTCTTCCTCCAATTCTGCTTCTCTCTCCAGCTCCTTGGCTCTAGCTTCCTTATTCTTCTCCAGGTAATACTGAAGAAACATTTGTTTTCAAGTTGCACAATTTACAATGTAACAATTTAGGAAAAAGAGGAAAAAACTAAGAAGAGATTTTGTTACATTGTAGTCTCCTGCATAGTCCCTAAACATCTAATGGTTCGTGTTATAATTGTTGTGTATTTGGTGTTATAAATATTTTTCATGATCGTTTGACAACAAAAAAAAAAAAATTATATTTTTCATCATCTTGTAATCATGTTTTGGGCTTATTTTCAATCATTAGCTAAGAATCTTAAAATGATAAAGCCCGCTTCAAGGCCCACGAACTCTCGCTTTTGTGTTTGTTCAGTCTGAAGTCTGAACCAAATCGTTAATCTGGGAGGTTAAATATCGGTTTAGTGTTATAACCAATTCAGTATTTCAAAATCCGAAACCAATCAGACCGGTTTTATAATCTCAATTTCATTTCCCCTTCCTTTGCCCAAATCGAAGCGAAGCTCTCTCATCAATGGCGAAATCAGTGGCGACGGCGACTTCCTCGCTTGTGCAAAACCTTAGGAAGTACATCAAGAAGCCATGGGAGATCACCGGACCTTGCGCTCACCCAGAGTACCTGGAAGCTGTTCCAAAGGCGACGGAGTATCGTATCCGATGCCCAGCTACGATTGATCAGGACGCGATCATACCGTCCTCGGATCCCGAGACGGTGTACAACATCGTATACCATGGTAGAGACCAGCGCAGAAACCGCCCGCCGATCCGGCGTTATGTGTTGAAGAAGGACGACGTTGTTCAGATGATGAATGAGAAGAAGACGTTCGACGTTTCGGACTTTCCTAGGGTTTACTTGACAACCACGGTCGAGGAGGATATGAACGCGCGTGGCGGAGGCTACGAGTGATAAACAGGTGAGGGATTCGATTTTCTGGTTGGTATGAGATTTGCTTGATTGCTAGGGTCGATTAGATGATCAAATTTGAGGTTTTTATTGTTCGGATTCATTTGATTTCTGGAGAATGAGCTGGATATAATGTAATTTATGGTCTAAGACTGGAACTTGTGGGTATATGGATCTGGTTTCTTGATGGCATTGGGATTTTGACTTCAATTAGGGCTCGTATCTAATTTTAAGCCTGAGAAGATAAGTATTTGTTGGGGAATTTTAGATTATATAGATAGTTTTGGTTGAAGCTTCTTAATTGGCAAATGAATGTTGATTTGTGTAAGGTGGATGGGTTTATTGTTTTCCCAAGAATTAGCTTGTGTCATTACGGTTAAGTGCAGCATTGGCTTCATGGTTTATTTCTGAAGTCGTACACTTTCTTACTAAGTTCATTCCAGTGGCTGTATGACTTTTCGATTTTAAAATGACGGAGTGAAAAATTGTGGCCATAAGTTAGTGGACGAGTCCATTTCCTTTGATTTTTGGGTGTTAGCTTATCGAAAATGGTCTGTGTAAGGAAGGTTTTGGTGTTCAACAGCTAGGTGCTATATTTGGTTGCTGGGTTTAGTATCTTAACTGAGCCGTAAGATCGAGAGTGGAGACTGAACCATCATTACATCATTTCGATTATGCCAAAATTCTAATTAGAACTATAAAAAACTCGGGGGTATAGTAAGCTTTTTCCGGTCGTTATGGTACTTTTTAAACTCTGTGAAATTGGACTTCAAACGTTTTTGATTGAGCAGTTGAAAATTAGATATCTTGGGTGGAGAAAGAACATGATGACATCTGCGAAGAAGTGTTTGGACTTCTTGTCCTCTGCAACTAGCTGGAATAGATGTAGAGGTAGATATGATGGTTTTTGTTGTTATCGTGCATTGTGTCCTTAAGTTTATGGTTGGTTTGGGTTTTTTGTCTACTCCTCCCTGCTGTTGTAGTTTTCCTGAGAGTATGAGTTGTAATTTTGGTCTTGACTAGATGAACTTCGTGATGCTCGATTAGTTTAGTTGCGACAGTGCAGATGGTTACTGGAATATTTTCGTAGCGGTATCCGGTAAAGGGAAGTTAGACAATCATACTCCCTTTCTGCTTCCTCACAATTTTCATATTAGAATTTGAGTAACCTGTTGAGTAGTTTTAACTAGCTGCTGAGTTCTGACCAATTAGAATGTTTTCGTTTGTGCTTTAGCTGTTTGGTATCACCTTGTATCCACTTTACTACCTAAACGCAATATAATCTCCATCTCCAATAAATGACTACTATTATTTGAGTTTCCATTTATCCAGACTGAATACTTTTTCCTTGTTTTGTAGGGTTTTTCTTGTCTCTGTCTTTCTCCTGAAATCTACCAATGGGCGAAGGATTGTGGGTGAAATTTCTCTACGGGCGAAAGATTCTCCGTGGCTTGCTTTTATCTAATAAGGTTTCTAGTAGCTTTAATGAACTACAAAACATTTCATTTTCCTCCACAAGAACCAGATTATTGTTCAGTCATATTCCCAATGTTTACGCTTATAACAAATATATATACTGTTCTAATGACGAGCCCGTGATTGTTTCAAGTCTGCTTTGAATTAGCAATGGTTACTAATGTAACACCGAGAGAGAGAAACAGGTAGTAGTCTCTGTTCTTGGGGGACCCTTTTTTCTGCATCAGTTAG